CGTGTGGCTTAGAAATGACAGCAGTCTGAAATTGGTTGCAATTTTTTCATCTCGCCCTCTATTCCGACTTAAAACCAATATAACTAAAATTCTTTTACCGTGATTCACCAACAAACGAACGGCAATTGAACATTTTTCTTTTATCAAAGATACTCTCTTTACCTCACTTCATTATTACATTTCTTAAAGCACTAGTACTTAATCCTCATAGCGCAGCAACAGCATCTACTCCGGCTCTGTGGCCAGTCGAGTGGAGTTTTATTTTATTTATCGCTGGTCATTTAAAATGAAGTATCAAAGACTCATTGCCCACATTATTTGTGGTTATGCTTCGTTAAATTCACCGAAGCAGATAGTATTCCTCTATTTTTTTCCAACATTATTTTATTAACATTAGTCAAGTGCTGGGCAAATTCATGCTGGTAGTTAATAAACGCTTTAGCAGTGTTTCGAGCATGAATTCTGTTTTTACACGATTTAAAGAAAATCATTGAACCATGCCACTCCATGGCAGAGATTTTATAATTTATTTATTAAGAAGCAGAAGAAAACAGACGGCTGAATAAAAGAACCAGAAGCACTAGTTAAAGCCACAAATAATAGCCCCAATCAGGGATGCTAACGGAATGTTGTTTATCCAATAATGATGGCCTGATGATGCTTCTGCTACGATTTCATGGTTATTAAGCCACACGTTTTGTCGGGAATAATACGGAGAGTGACATGACTGATGATCAGCCATCTTTAGTGAGTAACTGAGTGTGTGTGTGTGTACGTGTATATCTGTGACCCATTTAATGTTAAATTATTTAATAAATATAAAATATGGGGTTTGTATTTAACCTCAACACTAACAGGCGTGAATACAGTTCAATATGTCAAATAAGGTTGATTGTTGAACTTTTGAACAAGAATTCGTTCATTGACATGGTGTTGTGTTAACCTCTGAATTCATCAATTTATTAGGAAAAAATAAGAAATAAAAACAAATTATAAAATAAACGCTTAAAATATAGACGATTTTTATAATGTCTATGGAAATACGGGGGATATCAAAAAATTGTACCTATATTGTATCTATTGAGACGAGCGAAGTTTGAAGTAAAAAAACATTAAGTTCGGCCATTATGACCAACAATTACCAATTTTTAGACAAATTCTAAAAAAAATGTGGCAAAAATCATCAAAATACCGAATATCGGGAGGTACCGTTATATGGGGGCTATACCAAAGCGTGGACCTATACATGCAAAGTTTCGCCACCGGAGCTAGAACACATTATGACCAATAAATACCAATTTTTAGACAAATTCATAAAAAAATGTGGCAAAAATCATCAAAATACCGAATATCGGGATGTACCGTTGTATGGGGACTATACCAAAACGTTGACCGATATATCTCATTGTCAATACCAACCATCCTAGACACAATACAAATTATTCTGCTAAATTTTGACGCTCTATGTCAAATAATGTGGGCTGTATCGTGATTTCAACAGAATATATATACATTATAGGGTCTACGACGAATATTTAGGGATGTTACAAACGGAATGACAAAGTTAATATACCCTCTGTTCCAAGGTGGAGGGTATAGCAAGTTAAAAAGTATCAGTCGGTTTTGCCGACAGATCTATACCCACAGCCAATATTCGATTATTTAAATATATTTTGACTTCTGTTATGATTATTCAAATTGTTGACCCTATATGGAGCAGGTTCCGAAGGAATGTCGGACCTAAAGAAGTATGATATAAATAATGCTACGTTCCAGTCTTAGACTATATTGGTTACTTCCTCCACTTATATGAGATTTAGGAAAATTTTTGGAAAATGTTAAAATGTGCGTGAGGTACCAGACATAGTCGACCGAAGTATTTCACTTTCATACTTCATCTAATACGTACAAAATTACAATAAAATCGAACATTTATATCTAATTTTATGCGAAATCATAAATTTCATATTCATATCAGGTTTTTAGTTGAGAGAAATATTTAGATACAGTTGTAAAGAATAACTGACTTATTTCTCAAGTTATGACAGATAAAAGAATTGAAAACAGCCACCCTATTGTGGGTGAGGTACTAGAAGGGGTTCGCAGATCGTTACGTAGGATATTGTATTAGCAAAAATGTTTGTGTGTGAAATTTGAAGAGAGTTGGATGCATATTTCGGTTTCTTTGAGCTTTTTGTTTTTCAAAATCTTGAACCCTATGTTGGAGGGGTACAAGGAGAAAAGATCCGATCTCTACCAACTTTATAACAAATCTTATGTTGATGGAAATATTGAGATGTACCAAGTCTGAATAGAATCAAATGTTAATCTCGCGTTTTATGATATTCGTGGATATTCAAAATGTTGACCCTTCGTGGGGGAGGTACGGGAAGCAGTGGATCGATATATCCCACATTCACAACATATCAATAGTTAATAGAAATAATAGGATGTGTGTGCCGTAAAGAGAATTGGATGCTTATTCCGGATTTTTAATTATTTTTGCTATTCAAAAATTTGAACTTTGTGGGGGAGGTACCAGTACCACATTTATAACAGATCTAGTGTTGATAGAAAAGTTAAGATGTGCCAAGTCTAAATGGAATCGGACTTTAACTTTGTGTTTTAGGAGCTTCGTGGATATTAAATATTTTGACCCTTTGTGTACCAGAAGAAATGGCCCGATCTCGACCATCTTCACACCAGACCTTGGGTTAATAATAGTATTTTTATGTGTACAATCTAAAAACAATCGGTCTCTTACATCATTTTATATAATTGTTATAATCATTCAAAATTTTGACCCTTTTTGGGGGAGGTACTTGACCCTATTGTCAATTTTCTTACCTGAGCTAGCACTGATGAAAAAATTAGTGTTTTCAAAGTTTGAACAAAATCGACTTATCCTTTCTCTTTTTGTGCAGTAAAATAGTTGTTTAAAAATGTCGGACTTTTATGGTGGAACCAGAAGGAGTGGACCGATATGACAGTATCAAATTATATATACCGTCTCTATATTCAGACACTGATTCGTACTTAGTGAGAATTCCTGTACTCCTCCGCTTTATATGAAATTGTTATAGCATCAAGTTTATGACTATAGATGGAGTTTGTCATTAGATATGGCCTTATATGACTCATTGGAATAATCGTTTTTCATTCCATGTTTCATTGGACGAAATTGGTTGCATTGGTTTACATCTGTCTAGTCAGCTGTGAGTGAGTATTCGAAGAGTCCAAACTTGGAACAACGTTATGCTTTTTGACCAATCTTAGATCAAGTTCCGAGATAGGCAATATCGATCCACTCCTGTACAGAAAATCGGATTTGGTTGAACTTCACATATTATAAAATGTATATAAGATTTAGGTTAGGTACGAAAATTATCAGTATCGGCAGGTCTTTCTGGTACCTCCCCCAGCGGCATGGAGTTGCCTGAGCAAACTAATAGGTGTACGTCACAGCTTACCGGACATATTCAGGCCTGAGAAATTATGATCGATCGTCAGTTCTTTAGACTCAGACCCCCTCCCCATTATCGTCGCCCTCAACAGACTACCCGACTTCTTAGTCTTTGAACGCCGCTTTTCCCTTAACCATGGGAAATTCAATTGACAAAAGCTCAGGAACATACCAAACGCTACTTCAATTAAAAGGCCCAACCCATCTGATGTGCAGGCATTACATAGGTATTTCTGAGACATCACAAAGGCTGCAGCCGCTCGCTATATGCCTGCCTCGCCGTACCAACCCAAATTATCTCAGAGTCAATGATATTACTTTGGAGGTAAACAGATTTGTTGGCGAGCATAAGCGGGGAAAGTGGTTAGCATTGCAACTGAAGCATTGCAACATCAGTAGCGAATGGAGTAACTTGTGAGCAACGGTTAAATCGCTCTCGAATCCTGGAAAAAAAGTATGATCGGACATATGTCTCACATAACAGAGTCGAAGTGACAAATCCCAGAGGTACACGAGCGATTTTTACCGGCAATTTTTAGACCACAACTAGATTGAGAGGCTAACAGAAGGATCCCATGCCGTTTTCGATCTCTCCCAGCCGAGAAGGTACGACCACAATTTACAATGAAAGTTGTTGCACATGTAGTCAGAGGCTCAAAGTTATTCAAAGTGATTGGTCCTAACGAATTCTCTATGGTGATGTTGAAGCAACTGGATAAACCAGTCGTTATCCACGCTAATAGTTCCCTATGCATGGGAAAGATAGTTCCGCTACTGAAGGTTGGCAAGGATGTCAGCAAATGTGATTCATACAGGCCGATATCTTTTTTGTCACCAGTAGCAAATACGCTTGAGGCATTACTCCTCACCAGTATAAAAGAGTGTTTCCCAGTAGCTGTTCATCAACACGGATTTCGAAAATACACGCCATTTCAACACATGTCAGCAAAGGGCTGAAGACCTTCAAGATCTAGAGAGAGAGAGAGAGAAAAAGAGAGAGAAGTACAGTACATGCAGGACTGAATGGTATTCACTATGACGCGTTCTCACAGTCATTGCAGCTGAAGAGCGGGAGTTGTCCCGACAAACACGAGTAGTTTTGACACAATTAAGATCGGATGGTGCGGCTGACTCAGTTCGTATTGGGCCTGAATTGACTGCAATGTGAAGAACATGTGCCCAGCATGACACGCTACATCAATTTCACTGCCTAACCAAACCTACTCAACCTACTATACTCCTTGAGGCTCGACTTAGAAGCAGAACCAGATTGACATGCGTCAGAACGGACACAGCTGCAGGAGCTGCTACCACACCAAAAGAGGTTCAAATTATTTTCCCCAACAACGGTTTAATTTATTTTTCTAAAACAATTATCTAATAGAAATCGGACGAAGTATCCGATTCAACAATAAATATTAGCCGTCAATTTTTCCAAAATATTTTGTTTCTTTTCATTAATTTAAATATATGTCCATAATTAAAATTCAATCAAATCTAATTATTTATTCTTTATCCTCCTCTGTTTTGCTTTCAGAATTTGATTAGTGACTTAAGCCTGTATGAGACTGTAATCCCTGCCACCTCTGTGAGAAAAACACAAAATGTCGAACAAACATCACTCAATTGAGATAAGTTCATGTGTCATGGATCCACAGGTTAGTTAGCCAGCATTCATTTTTTAACAAAAAAAAGAATAAATAAATAAAAACTCTTCCAGACCCAACTATCCGATGCCTTGGCCAATAAGAATATCAAAGAATTTCGTGTGGCCTTCGATTTGGGAGCCGATCCCTTGAGACTAGACAACAATCATCTGAGCATTTTTGATAAGGCCCTCAGCACAGCGGGTTGTGCAGAATTTGTTGAGGAATGCCTGCAGAGGGGTTGTAGTCCGAACTATGTAAGTTTTTCCTAAACCTTTTTTTTGCTCAAAATGATATAAGTAATTCTACCTCTCATTTCAGCGCAATCCCCATTTGGTAAAATATGCAATTAGTTTTGCCACCGATTCCCAGGATCCACAGATTTTAAGGTCACTGCTAAGGCATCCTAATGTCATGGTGGACAAAAAATATCATGAGCTAACGCCGCTCAACTCATTGGCAAAGAATTTGAATAATGAAAATGTCAGCAATGCCAAGGAGTGCATGAAGTGCCTTTTGGACTATGGCGCCTCGCCGAATATACCCAATCAGGCCGATTTCACGCCATTGCATTTTGTGGCGAGAAATCGTAAATTGGACGACATCAAGAAAAGAGAAATTGTGGAAATGTTTTTGTCATACCCGGACATTGATTTGGACACATATCGTGAGGGAGAGTTGAGAGAAAAACTTGAAGAACTTTATCCCGACTTGCGTTTGCCGGAGGCCCGCAGCACCACAGAGGTAACAATGGAAAAGCTGCTGTCCTACATTAAGTGTGGCGATACGGAAAAATTCAAAGAACAATTTCCCCAATATCAATTGAATATTTCGGATAAGGATAATCTAAAGAATACTCTGAGGGATGAAAATGTCCCTCTGTTTCTGGAGGCCATACGCAAGGGTCACAATGAAGCATTTGACATGATTTTGGCCAGCGGAGTGAATTATAATGCCGTGCTAAAGGGTAACTCACCCATGGAAGTGGCCACCATCTACGGCAACAGCCATGCTCTGCGTAAACTCCTGGAATTGGAAGATCTGGAATTGAGGTTACGCGATTATCCTTTGATAACAGTCATACGAAAAATGAACGAACAACCAGCCCAGGAATATTGCGATTATCGCAAATGTTTCTATACCCTGTTGGAATCGGATCGTATCGATATCAACGAAATGGATAAGACTCGTTCCACTCCCCTGCACTATGCCGTGAAATATCGCAACACCGAAGCCATACGAGAGCTGTTGAAGCGTGGTGCCTACATTGGGGTAAAGAGTCGTTTCAATGAGCTGCCCATCGATGGCATGAGTCCTGAGCTGTTGGAGGATCATTTCGATCACTGCATTAGTTCGAATGGCGCCCGGGTGGGTGATGAAAGCTTTGAGATTTTGGTCAATTTTATGAACCTCATGCCACAGGGCGATAACAAGGCGAAACACAAGGCGAAGCATCACTTGCGTGAGGAAATGGCACCCATTGCCTTTATTGCCAAGTCTAAGGAACACCGTCATCTACTGCAACATCCGCTGGTCACGAGTTTCCTCTTCCTCAAATGGCACCGCCTCTCAACGATTTTCTATATCAATTTCCTGCTCTACTTCTTCTTTGCCGTATCGATTATAGCCCATACGGTGCTGAAGTTCCGCGAAAGTGATTCGAATGCTGCCACGGTGATTTTTGGTCTCATCTCCTGGGTGGGCATCTTCTATATGATACTGCGCGAGGCCATACAATTTGTTATGTCACCGGTGCACTATTTCCGTTCGGCAACCAATTACATGGAAGTGGTGCTAATTATCCTGGCCATTATGACGTGCACTGAACCCACCTATGATCATGAGACGCAGAGGATCATAGCCGTCTTTACCATGCTTCTAATAGCCGTGGAACTGTGTCTGCTGGTTGGCTCGCTACCCGTCCTTTCCATTTCCACGCACATGCTCATGTTGGAGGCCGTCTGTAAGAGTTTCCTCAAAAGTTTCACTCTCTATTCGATTTTTGTCATCACCTTCAGTTTATGTTTTTACATTTTGTTCGGCAAGCCCCAGGTCGATGAGGATGGCAATCCCATTACACCCGAAGACGATGACTTCAATAAATTCTCCAACCCGCTGGCCGCGATGATTAAGACCATTGTCATGTTGACGGGTGAATTTGATGCTGGTGATCTACAGTTCGACACACTCTATAGTTATTTGCTTTTCCTGCTCTTTGTCTTCCTGATGACAATTGTGCTCTTCAATTTACTCAATGGTTTGGCCGTGAGCGATACACAAGCCATCAAGGGCCAGGCCGAGTTGAACGGTGCCATTTGTCGCACCCAGCTGTTGACGCGTTACGAGGAGGTACTTACCGGCCGTTCGGAACGTTCCAGTTTCATTGTCAATCATGAGCCATTCCGTTCGATATGCCGTCGCCTAATGAACATCTATCCGAATTATCGTCACATTGCCATATTGCCGAATGACAGTAATAAAATTTTCATACCCGTCGACGATACCTATGAAATGAAAGAACTGGGTGTCCAATTGAAAAATAACTCCTTCCACCCGTTGCCATCGAACGATGGCGACAAGGTCAAGAAACTTCTGGATGCTCCCGTACAATTTCTACCCTGTCTCTGTTCATGCATCACCAACAAATGTTCGGAAATGGATCGTCGCACCGTGAAATTGGCCATGGCTGTTTTGGAACAGAAAACCATCAAAATGGAAAACCGCAAAAGGATGCAGGATACGGAAAATCGTCTGCGTAATATCGAAAGTAAAATGAACGAGATGTTCCATTTGTTGAAAGCCATTAAAAATGACATGAACTGAATGTAGAGGAGTTTTTTTTTAAATATTTTATAAGAATAAAAAATGATATTTTTAATTTTTTTAATAACATAAAACATAATAGATTTTATTTTAAAATATTACAACAATATGCATTTGAAATGTTAATGTTAAGTATTAATTGAATATTGAAAAAAATGAAAAGAGTTCATAGAATTCATGTCGGTCCTAAAATTCTATTATTTTTTATTTTATAATAAATATTAATAAATATTTGTTTCGTTTTTAAATAAATAAAGGTATTGAAATTTCTTCAGCACAAAGAATGGGATTCGGGGGGAGAATACTTACGTTCATTGAAAATTCAGAGCCCAAATTCTTAAATTCGAGAAAAAACACTTGGAGAAAAAAACCACTCGAAATGAATAACAAGTAAAAAAGCAGTATAGTTTCGGACCGAGTCGAGCTTTTAATATCCTCCACCATTTGAAAGGAACTTGAAAAATTGCAAAAATTCCGAAAAATACCGCTTAAATGAAAAACCGAAGACGTGGACCTGTATACGAACTTTAAATACGAAATTTGAAACAATTCTGGTCTATAATGCCTCTAAATTCATAAAAGTAGCGTATATTGGGAGGTGCAGTAAATTTGAGGCTATACGAAGAAGTGGTTCTACATATACAGTTTTCTGCCATAGGTTGTAGTACCCATCAAGAACTACAAATACGAAGTTTGAAACGATTCCGGCGAATAATATCCTCCTCGAAATACCGAATAAAGGGAGTTGCCGTTATATGGCAATTAAAAATTCTGTTAAAATCTTTAAAATATCTAATATCGGAAGGTGCCGTTATATGGGGGATATACGATATTGTGGACCTATATAGACAATTACCTTTTAGGGGTTAAAGTGCTCTCAAAGAACTCTTTGTGTGGATTTTCAGACAATACCATAGGAAAATATGGCTAAAATCATCGAAATACCGAATATCGGGAGTACCGTTATATGGGGGATATACGATATCGTTAAGCTATAAATGTCAGGGGTAAACTGCTCACAAAGAACCTCTTGTGTACAATTTCAGTCAATTCCATTGAAAAATGTGGCTAAAATCATCAAAATACCGAATATCGGGGGGTACCGTTATATTGGGGCTATACGATATCGTGGACCGATATAGCCCATCTTTGAACTTGACCTGCGTGTGATTACAACAGACGGACGGACATGGCTAAATCGGCTTAGAATTTTACGCTGATCAAGAATATATATACTTTTTTGGGTCTAAAATGATTATTTCGATGAGTTACAAACGGAATGACGAATTTAATATACCCTCCATACTATGTGTGGTGGAGGGTATAAAAACTGCAACCAACTTCAGACTGCTGTCATTTCCAAGCCACTCATTCGACAGCTGTTAAAATTATTCCAGTGGCAGCTCATTATATTGTTTACAAGCGTACAAACAGAAACATCAGCAGAAATGGTTCGAAAATTAAAGAAGTGACTTGATCGAAACCCGCGTCGCAGTGGCCGAAAAATGGCTCGTGAGCTGAACATATTGCAATATTCCATTTGACAAATATTGAAAAATGATCTCGGGGTAAAGCCATTGAAATTCCAAAAAGTGCAAGAACTTACACCGAGCTCAAAAGAGCTAAAGAGTTGCTTCGCTTGGCCGAAAGTGGTGAACTGCCGAATTTGGTTTTCTCCGATGAGAAAACATTCGTTGTCCAGCAGTTTGTAAACAAACAAAATGATCGTGTTTACTTGTCAAAGAGGTTAGCTGATAATGTGTAACTTCGATTGGCCACCAGAACCGCCATGGTGATGGTGTGGGCTACCATAACAGCCGATGATCGTTCTCCGCTCGTATTAATCAACTGTGGCATCGGAATAAATGCTGAATAATCGCGAAAATATTCTGGAGGGTGTATTAAAGGCGTGGGCACGCAAACATTTTAGCCGCAGACCTTGGACATTCCAACAGGACTCAGCACCATCGCACTCAGCACGCACCACCAAAGAATGGTTACAAAATGAGGTTTCTCACTTCATTTCCAGCGCACAATGGTCACCAATGTCTCCGGATACCAATCCGTTGGACTATTGTGTCTGGAGTATTTTAGAAAGCAAGTTTGGCACTGAAAAAATACCAAAGTGACGATCACACCAAGCAAGCGCTTCGCCGGGAATGGGTCAAAATACCACAGAGCAACAATCGAGCAGCATGTGATGGTTTCATTGGCCGTTTGGAGGCCATAATTCGTGTCAAAGGTGACCAATACGAACAAACCTAAACTTATTCTAAAATTTGATGTTATTTCCGACTTTTTTTGCTTTCATTTAATAAAATTTAAAAAAAGGTAAAAATGATGGCGTTTGATTTTGTTGCAGTTTTTTTTGTCTCACCCTGTAAATACTTTGTAGGATCTATCATGAGTATTTCGAAGAGTTACAAACGGCAAACGACTAAGTTAATATACCCTCCATAGAATGGTGGACCAAGAAACCACAGAATCGCCACTAAAATATCAGAATTTTCCTCCCCAAACCCATAGGCCAAACAAAGGCATAGTTTAACAAGTTAAAAAGTATCAGTGCCGACAGATGAATACGCTCAGCCAATGTTCGATTATTTAAATATAGATTGACTTCGTTATGATTATTTAAATTGTTGACCCTCTATGGGGTAGGTTCCAAAGGAATGGGCCAATGTTGTCCATTTCCTATGGGACTTAAATAAATATGATATAAATATTATAGTGTGGCAGTTTTGGACTATATCATCTACTTCATCCATCAGATATGTGATAATTTTTGAAAAGGTTGAAATGTGCTGGGCTTGCAGGATATAGTTACCGAACTATTCCGTTTTCATAATTGATCTGATGCAGATAAAAACAAGTAAGCAAAGGCTACAGTCGAGCGGGGCCGACCGTTGAATACCCTACAACACTATAATAAACGATACAGTTTATATAGGAGAGATACTCGAAAGAATTCCACAAGATATTGTGACAAATAATAAAAGAAAACCATCAGGTTTCGTTCACTAATTTTCGAATAATAGCAACTTAAACTAATTTAAATGGTTTTCCTAGATCTGGAACCAATATTTCCCAAAGACCTATAATCTCTCAGAAGTGGCAAAAGATTAACATTTATTATTGGTTTTTGACAGAAACGCATCTATATGAGATACAGCCATTTGACTATGTTCTTCAACGAAATCAGCGTTAACGAAATAGTCAGAAGTTCGTTTTTCCAGTATTTGTGAATTCTCCAAAAAGTCACTGGAATGTACATCTTCGTATTTTGTCTACAAAAGTTGGCAAACTATTTCACACATTGAATATTTTAGGATGGCCATCCAAAACTGCTAGGCTTTTGCAATGTCCGGTAACCCCCATTCAAATGTGCATGAGGATAGGGCGATAATTACGACCTGCTGACAATTTTGCAGTTTTTTGGTCCATTTCAACCCCTAAATATATGGCGATCATCTCCAAAAAGAGTAGGCTTCTATTCTGACCCTCATCTTATCCCCATGCAAAATTTCGTAAGGATCGGGCCATAAATGCGATCTGTATATGATATCCTGATATCCTAACTACTTAGTTTTGTTGGCTGTAGAAATATTACCAAATGTTTAATTCAAAATGAAAATATGCCAAAAATATGACAAATTGGAAAAAATATGAGAAAATGTTAAAAAATCAATATTTTCATCTCTAGAGAGATATTTTTATGCGATTTTTTAGACGTTTTTTGTTTCCTGCCATGAGGCCATTCTGAATTAATGAGAACTGTCGAAATCAGTTCAGCCGTTCTCGACATATATGAGATCTTTCAAGCATATCTTCTTTGATAGACATATATATATCGCATATATTTGCTATATATCCGATTTGTTGGTTGTTAACATCAATGTAAAGGTCAGAAGTAACCTTGTCATGGCTTTGTGATTTCACCGGTATTTAAAATATTCGCGGTTTAGTGAAAAATTTTGAATTTTTTCAACACAAAAGATATGGTCTATTTTACCCGCTAAATATTATCCGATGACCACCCAAATTGGTAGGCTTCTTCCCTAAACTCTAGCTACATGCGAAATTCCGCGTCGATTGCAAAATCCGACATTTTTGAGTATTTGGTCCATTTCAACCCCTAAACATTTGGCGATCATCTCCAAAAGAAATAGGCTTCTATTCTGATAATTAAATTTATATGGGCAAAATTATTTTGACTCTTACAAATTCTATATTCACACCAAAAAATGGCTTAGTAAAAATATTGCACAACATCAATTTGAAGTCAATAGGACTCTTACATCACTTCTAATAAGAGTTATAATCATTCAAAATGTTAACCCTTTCCATTGTCCATTTTCGCAGCTTACCTAGGACTGACGCAAATATTAGGAGTTGCTTAGTTGGAGCAAATTGGAGTATATTTTCCGTTTCAGCAGCATTTCAATAGCGGTCTGTCATAATGTGTGTATTCTCAATTCTCAAATTACTCATACAGAGTATTTATACCCTACAACACTATGTGCTGGGGGTATTATAAGTTTGATTGGGCCAAAAATTATATAACACCACGAAATATTGATTTCCCACATAGGGAAGTATATATGGATCTTCCTATCTCGCCGAGCTGAGTCGATCTAGCTATGTATGTCCGTGCGTCCTTGCAAATTGGAGTATATTTTCCGTTTCAGCAGCATTTCAATAGAGGTCTGTCATAATGTGTGTATTCTCAATTCTCAAATTACTCATACAGAGTATTTATACCCTACAACACTATGTGCTGGGGGTATTATAAGTTTGATTGGGCCAAAAATTATATAACACCACGAAATATTGATTTCCCACATAGGGAAGTATATATGGATCTTCCTATCTCGCCGAGCTGAGTCGATCTAGCTATGTATGTCCGTCCGTCCTTTACGTCTGTCCATGTTAATTTGTAATCACTCTACAGGTCGCAATTATGGCCCGATCTTCACGAAATTTAGAATGTAGGTGGGGCTAGGCTCAGAATAGAACCCTATATCTTTTGGAGATGATCGCATTATATTTAGGGGTTGAAATGGACCAAAAACTGAAAAATTTCCTGATTTTGAAGTTGATCTACAGGTCACAATTATAGACCAATCGACGTGGAAGTTAGCATGGGGCTAGAGGTTAGGGCTGGGTAGAAGTCTTCCAATTATGATGGTCATCGGGTAACATTTAGTGGT